TAAATCATTGTTTGTAATAACTATTTGAAATAACTATTATTGTAAATTGTATTGCTGTTTATCTATTAAAACATTTGTATTAAAAAGGAAACTGTGTGTATCCATCTTGTTGGCAAATATCATAAATTGGATATATATCGGCATTTACTTAACCACTAAATCTAAATTACAATTTAACTCAGTTTTAGGCTATTTGAAATTTTAATACGTAACAACATTTAAAGTATCGGTACCATCAGCCAGTTCAGTTTTAATACTTGCCCCTGATATTCGGGTTTTGAAAGTGTCATGAAATCTGGTGTCTAATGCTGGACAAGTCGACTGCTTTGTCAGTTCTGATCAGATCAATTGGCTCAAAGTGTTTTTTGTACTAGATGTGTTTGGTGAGTATTAATTATTGTGGAACAGGTTTAACCACGCAGTCATTAAGACGTTCCGCACGGCCATCAAATTTGTTCAGAACTCTACGTATATAACCGCTGAAACGAGTAATCGAGTCAGGTTACTTAACTATTTTAATTACTTTAGGTACACTGTACCGCCTTAATATTTTATAAACTTTGTACTTTCAAATACAAAATACCACAACCAAAAATATATTTCGTATCCGAAACACGAGTTTTTCCCTCTAGTGCTGAGAAATATAACCATGATACACATAATATGATTTTCTTGGTAATAAAACAACAACACAAGTAGTAAGTCACGTGTTTTAATCAGTAACATTATATTCTATAGCTCAGAAGTGCGCTGGATGGGTAACTTTATCCATATTACATGTTAGTAATTAAAGAAATTGATACAATCTAAGTTAAACTCACAGAGCCACACCTAAAGCAAGGTGACAACTACACAAAAACGATTTTCTTTTCTTGGCGCGCTTAAGTCATTAAACAATATTTTCAGAAACATAGTAGTATTTTGTGAAATTATAAGGTATTTGTTTTATGTTTTCCAAGGAGAACTAGGGGCTCGAGATATGCATTTACGTACAGAGAACAAAACCTGTTGTGAAGCCACCTGAAGCCCCCAGAGCAGAGAAAAACCTTAGAAAGGTAAACATCAGATAGCTTGTAGAGAAAGGAATCGCCACACCAAAAACAACGTTAATTGCGAGGCACACCAGGATAACTGGACGACGACCTATCCTAAATAGAAACGATAATAATGATAAACGTGGAATCGGCTAACGTGAGATATTTGAAACCAGATTATATAGAAAATAGATTCCAAGAATATACACTGACACAACAAATGCTACTAGATGGTAGAAAAATGTAGTATTTTAAACCACAGAATTAATAATTTTTCTAACTATAAAAGTTAATTGTTATTTTTAATTATAGAATCAATGTTCTCTCTAATCACTCAAAGAATGATTTGTTTTGTTTTATCTACAGAAGTAATATATTCTGACGAACCACATAAACAACACCTTCTTTTTAGCCACTGAAGTATTATTAATAACCACTGAGTAAGAACGTTGTTTTTAAACTATAAAAATCAATTGTTATTTCTAATCATAGAATCAATATGCTATTTCTAAGTACAAGAAAATATGTTTTTTATAATCACAGAAATAATATGTTTCTTCTAATCCTTTCTGAACGCAAAATAAACACTTTTATATTCACAGAATGAAAGTAGTTCTTCAAATCATAAAAATAATTATCCTATTATTTACAGAAATAATATCATTTCTTATCATAGAAATAATGATACTTTTAACAACAGTAACTGTGCTATTTCTTATTACAGAAACAATTGCTTTTTGTTATGTTTTTCTAATTACAGAAACAATGTATTTATAATAATGTGAACAATTTTCTTTTTAATAAAATCAAGCAGTATTATCATAACAGAATTAGTCAAAATACGATTCTACAAATGTATCTGTGAACATATTGTACATTTGAAAGGCTCACAAGGAAGAAACAACAGCAAAGCTCTATACAAGTCACTATAAACCAAATATATCTAGCTGACTGTTGTTAAACTTACCTATCGGACAATGATCCAAACACAAACACTGCCACCATGAACCCTGCCATATAGATGGACTGACTGAGCGAAACCAGCCATTCTCTGGAGCAAACTAAGTCCCACTAGGAGAATAAATAAACAGAAAAGGAATATTACTATTAAGTCACATTATGTTACATAGAATAAAAAGAAAAATTATCGTGTTAGATTACATTCTACAGTCATAAATAAAAGGTACTGAAAGTTTAAAAATTGATTGAATAGCAAGGAAAGGTTGATAATAGAATAAAAAACAAGTTGCATATAATAAATAATATATTGTAATGAAAACATATAAATACCTGATCAGTATTCTTGAAACCAGTCGTTCTCATTATTTCTGGAAAATACGAATTACTCTTTAAATTAATCATGGGTTCTTATTCTTCAGTACTGGATTTTCATATAACTTATCGGAAAGTATAAAACCTAATATGGAATAACAATACAATTGTAATTTTTGTTTACATTCTTCGTTTGTTGATCCGGAATGCTATGGTCATCAGCCTTATTGCTCCCAATATTGACCACTGGTGCAGTCCACCAAATTCCTACAAAAACTTGACAGTTGCTCAGTGGAGGAACTATGCCATTCCTTTTGTTGAACAAGATGATAAGTCGACGTTCAGCAAGTGTAAAATGTACAACCTGTCCAACATCGGGTACCTTGAACCTCCAGATTTCAACTCAACAATCCTCTGCTCTTCTTGGGAGTACGACCATACCAAATATGATTACACAATCATTGATGAGGTATTGTGTGTCCATCTATTGTTATTACAAAAACTACATTAATTATAAAGAATTATTGAAATAATAAAAACATTAAAATGAATCGAGAGTTTACATCATAACAAAAGTTCAGTAAATATAAATTATCTAAACCACGTGTAGAATAATATGCAGTTTAGTAGGAATTAGGGAAGTTGGTAAGAAAAGCCAAAATGAAGACTTTTCTTTGCCACGGGCCATAAGATCCAATAATGTCTGATATTTGAGTCCCTTTCTGTTGATCATCAGTCTGTATACTAATGAAGTAGAGTAATTATATACACTGGTGAGATATCCTGTTGCACGTGAAGAGAAAGTTTAGTATTTGGATAGATGTGTGTAAAAAGTAATAAAAATATTTTTTTGAAGCGTTTTGATGGTTTCTTATTCTCTGTGCTATATCATTTATAATACAGTTAGGACTGCATCCGTTTCAACACAGATCCCTATATTTACTGATATAACAGCCAAATCAAACTAAATTGAACCACAGAGGAATTTAACTATAAGAATAGCATATTACCATAGATTCAAAGCTGGCTAGTCTGACTAAGACTTTGTCTTTGTGGTCAATCAACCTGGTCTAGTGTGGAGGTTTAATTCTTTCGTCGCTTTATTCAAGATTTCACGACGCAATAGAATGGATAAGCATAACATATTCACAAAATGAATATTCAGTCACATTTAACTATTCTTCCTTGTTTCTCGTGTTAGAATGTATATGTATTAATATAATATAAAGTACGTTAATAGAATAATTTCTCATCTGAAGTTTCATAATAGATTATCAAAACCCATAAAAATCACAGAATAAACCACCAAATAACATCAAAATATTTAAAACAATCACGTTGTATACCAATATCAAAATCCTTCGAAAAACAGGCTATAAACCACTAAATGACTTCAAAACCTGACACAACCACGCCTTAAATGACCAAAGAATATTAAAACCTGCCAAAGTCATGTCGTAATAAAACATAATTTTATTTTTATAATTTTGTTATAGACATTATTTTATACTCTTACTTTAATAAATGTATTTAGGATTCATCTAAATCACCTACATTGGACGACGTTGTGACATATTATTAGGATTATGATCGAAAATGTCGTTAACTGTAAGATTACCTTACTGATGAAAAATGTATTCTAATCTCTTTAAGTAGTTCCTAGCAAAAGAATCATGTTCAATTAAGTACGCTCGTTACCAGGTTGATTTTTAGTTTCGTTATAAGTGGGTAGCTTATTCTGGTCGGAAGTTAATATTATTAGATCGTTGAATCTCGCCAACATCACGCTGTAAACCACCAAAGGACCATCAAACCTAGCTCATATAACGCAGTAACTCACCAAAACACATTAAACTTGCTAAGGTAACGCCTTAAAACACTAAAGGACCCCAAACCTTGCTAATATCACATAAATAGCCACAGCATATAAAACATTATTAAAGTTATGGCGTAAACCACCAAAGGACATCAACATCTGCTAATGTCATTCCTTTAATCATCAGATGACATCAAAGCCTGCTGACGTCATTTCTTAATTCACTAAATGACATTAAATCCTGCTTTAAATCATTAAGGGGCATCAAAACCTAAACCAGCAAAAGACATCAAACCTGCTAACGTTACTCCTTAAATCACCAAATGACATT